CTCACTCATCCTCATTCTCCTCCCACAATACTGTTTTTGCATTTATTCACTACACACAGACATTATATATACAAGTATTTAAATGTTTTGTTCACCATAACTGTACATCTAAGCTTGTATGGTGAGTAAAGGCACAAAGACGTAGCTACTCACACAGTCAGCTGATCGGCGGCCGCCCTCAAGGCTAGACGCACTAATATTTCTCCTCCAACAATATTGTCTGTGGGGTTATTATGCTATATACACACATTATATATAAGTATCTACCTGTTTTATTCACCATACCTGTACAAATAAGCTGGTATGGTGCCCAAAGACCATAGTGGCCATCAGTAGGCAACATGCCAAGTCGTGCAGACGACACTCCTCCCTCACCAAAATGGCGGCTCCCAACCTAGTCCTCTCGCTGTTATCTCACACTATACACACGTTATATATAAGTATCTACATTTGTGTTCACCATAGCGAACCACTAAGCTGGTATGATGAGTGCAGTCAATAAATGGTGGCCACACACACAGTCAGAAGACAATGCCACAACCCTCCCTCCACAGCCTTACTCCTCCCTCCATGGAGCACAGCGCTAAATATCACCACAATCCTGCTATTATCAGAATCCTGGTCAGTTTTATCACAGTCAGGGGGCTTCAGTAATACTATCACTGCTAAATAATAGCATGAACAATTATATTATGACATTTGTAGGCGATGCTGTGGTCACAAGCTGAACAGCGGTGCTGTGAGCTCGTGCTGCATGCGCCAGCCTTGGTGGCTTGCTCAATACTGACGCTGTAACACCCAAGAATGTTGGCCTGGATTTTTTTTCTAGGTGGCATCTGGCAACTATCGGTCGTGGCTGTACTATAGCTGCCCCTATCCCAGGCGAGGCGTTTAAATTATAGCGCTAGACACGAAATCATATATAAATGATGTGCGCGGTTTCGGTTTTGTCACTGTTATCATGTACATATGATATGCGCGGTTTGAGGGTTAACCCTCAAACCGCTAGGGGCCCAAATGGAATTCACACACACAGGCGCAACAAAAAAAAAATTCCAAAAAATTCTTTCGTCTTATAGAAGTGTTCATTTTTGTTCCCTGATCACGGAAAAAATAACAAAAAAAATCGTAGGTGGCATATTTTAGCCGCAATAGGGTAGGGAAGTGTGGCAAAAAAGGGGCGTTGGCAGAGCCTTCGCCAGACGAGGTCTACTCCGCCCGAGCTGTTAGACGGCAGTTGCCACAAATATATTATTACCTAGTTATTTCAATGTCTCTGATTGATTTTTTTTTAGTTTTTTTGCAGTAATATTGTTCCTTACAGTGAATTGTGGTATATTTATATTATAAAATGTGTGAACCATCGCTGTACTCAAAATTATGGTGTGCATATTAGTGATTCAATTATTATGTTCATAAAACAATAAACAAATAGTTTTGCTGTTGTTACACAATATACACAGGTTATATATAAGTATCTGCATGTTTTGTTCACCATAACGAACTACTAAGTTGGTCTTGTGAGTCAAAAAGCAACGAGGAGTGAAACACCAAACACCAGCGAGCCACTCACTGCCACTCTCTCCCTCAACACCACCTCACTCACCCTCATTTACCTCCCACAATACTGTTTCTGTATTTATTCACTATACACAGACGTTATAGATACGTATTTACATGTTTTGTTCATCATAACTGTACATCTAAGCTTGTATGGTGAGTGAAGGCCATAAGACGTAGCTACTCACACAGTCAGCTGATCGGCGGCCGCCCTCAAGGCCAGACGCACTAATATTTGTCCTCCAACAATATTGTTTGTGGTGTTATTACGCTATATACACACATTATATATAAGTATCTACCTGTTTTATTCACCATACCTGAACAAATAAGCTGGTATGGTGCCCAAAGATCATAGTGGCCATCAGTAAACACCATGCCAAGTCGTGCAGACGACGCTCCTCCCTCCCCAAAATGGCGGCTCCCAACCTACTCCTCTCGCTGTTATCTCACACTATACACACGTTATATATAAGTATCTACATTTGTGTTCACCATAGCGAACCACTAAGCTGGTATGGTGAGTGCAGTCAATAAATGGTGGCCACACACAGTCAGAAGACGACACCACAACCCTCCCTCCACAGCCTTACTCCTCCCTCCGTGGAGCACAGCGCTAAATATCACCACAATCCTGCTATTATCAGAATCCTGGTCAGTTTTATCACAGTCAGGGGGCTTCAGTAATACTATCACTGCTAAATAATAGCAGTATCATTTATATTATGGTATTTGTAGGCGATGCTGTGGTCACAAGCTGAACAGCGGTGCTGTGAGCTCGTGCTGCGTGCGCCAGCCTTGGTGGCTTGCTCAATACTGACGCTGTAACACCCAAGAATGTTGGCCTGGATTTTTTTTCTAGGTGGCATCTGGCAACTATCGGTCATGGCTGTAGTATAGCTGCCCCTATCCCAGGCGGGGCTTTTAAATTATAGCGCTAGACACGATATCATATATAAATGATGTGCACGGTTTCGGTTTTGTCACTGATATCATTTATATATGATATGCGCGATTTGAGGTTTAAGGACCTGAAATTAAACTTATTGTTTGCTGACTGGGTTGCGACTGAGAAAGCCTGATTGACTGTGAATGCTTGATTTACTGTGAGAGCCTGATTGACTGTGAAAGTTTGATTGTGAAAGCCTGATTGACTGTAAATGCCTGATTGACTGTAAAACAGTTCTCTCTGACACGAACACAGTTCTCTCTGACACGACCACAGTTCTCTCTGACACAACCACAGTTCTCTCTGACACAACCACAGTTCTCTCTGACACAACCACAGTTCTCTCTGACACAACCACAGTTCTCTCTGACACAACCACAGTTCTCTCTGACACAACCACAGTTCTCTCTGACACAACCACAGTTCTCTCTGACACGACCACATTCTCTCCGACACGACCGCATTCTTCCTGACATGACCACATTCTTCCTGACACAACCACATTCTTCCTGACACGACCGCAGTTCTCTCTGACACGACCACAGTTCTCTCTGACACAACCACAGTTCTCTCAGACACAACCACAGCTCTCTCTGACACGACCACAGTTCTCTCAGACACAACCACAGTTCTCTCTGACACGACCACAGTTCTCTCTGACACAACCACATTCTTCCTGACACGACCACATTCTTCCTGACACGACCGCAGTTCTCTCTGACACGACCACAGTTCTCTCTGACAGAACCACAGTTCTCCCAGACACAACCACAGCTCTCTCTGACACAACCACAGCTCTCTCTGACACAACCACAGTTCTCTCAGACACAACCACAGTTCTCTCTGACACGACCACAGTTCTCTCTGACACGACCACAGTTCTCTCTGACACGACCACATTCTTCCTGACACGACCACATTCTTCCTGACACGACCACATTCTTCCTGACACGACCACATTCTTCCTGACACGACCACATTTTTCCTGACACGACCACATTCTTCCTGACACGACCACAGTTCTCTCTGACACAACCACATTCTTCCTGACACGACCACATTCTCCCTGACACGACCACATTCTTTCTGACATGACCACAGTTCTCTCTGACACAACCACATTCTTCCTGACACGACCACATTCTCCCTGACACGACCACATTCTTTCTGACACAACCACAGTTCTCTCTGACACGACCTCATTCTTCCTGACACGACCACATTCTTCCTGACACGACCACATTCTTCCTGACACGACCACATTTTTCCTGACACGACCACATTCTTCCTGACACGACCACAGTTCTCTCTGACACAACCACAGTTCTCTCTGACACAACCACAGTTCTCTCTGACACAACCACATTCTTCCTGACACGACCACATTCTTCCTGACACGACCACATTCTTCCTGACACGACCACATTTTTCCTGACACGACCACATTCTTCCTGACACGACCACAGTTCTCTCTGACACAACCACAGTTCTCTCTGACACAACCACAGTTCTCTCTGACACAACCACAGTTCTCTCTGACACAACCACAGTTCTCTCTGACATGACTACATTCTCCCTGACACGACCACATTCTTTCTGACATGACCACAGTTTTCTCTGACACGACCACAGTTCTCTCGGACACAACCACAGTTCTCTCTGACACGACCACAGTTCTCTCTGACACAACCACATTCTTCCTGACACGACCACATTCTTCCTGACACGACCACATTCTTCCTGACACGACCACATTCTTCCTGACATGACCACAGTTCTCTCTGGCACGACCACAGTTCTCTCGGACACAACCACAGTTCTCTCTGACACGACCACAGTTCTCTCTGACACGACCACAGTTCTCTCTGACACGACCACAGTTCTCTCTGACACGACCACAGTTCTCTCGGACACGACCACAGTTCTCTCGGACACAACCACAGTTCTCTCTGACACGACCACAGTTCTCTCTGACACGACCACAGTTCTCTCTGACATGACCACAGTTCTCTCTGACACAACCACAGTTCTCTCTGACACGACCACAGTTCTCTCTGACACGACCACAGTTCTCTCTGACACGACCACAGTTCTCTCTGACACGACCACAGTTCTCTCTGACATGACCACAGTTCTCTCTGACACAACCACAGTTCTCTCTGACACAACCACAGTTCTCTCTGACATGACTACATTCTCCCTGACACGACCACAGTTCTCTCTGACACGACCACAGTTCTCTCTGACACGACCACAGTTCTCTCTGACACGACCACAGTTCTCTCTGACACGACCACAGTTCTCTCTGACACGACCACAGTTCTCTCTGACACAACCACAGTTCTCTCTGACACAACCACAGTTCTCTCTGACATGACTACATTCTCCCTGTCACGACCACATTCTTTCTGACACGACCACATTCTCTGACTTGACCACAGTTCTCTCTGACACAGTCACAGTTCAGTTGGAAGATATCCGTAACACTCACCAGTGATTGAATGAGTGAAGAATGTTTCAAAAAATATTTGCTATAGGTCTTCTTATTCTTCTCTTTAACAGAATATTGCAGTTGTAGACGCCTGAAAAAACTGCACCTTGAACACTGCTTTCTCCCTCGGCCATAATGTAACACACCTATAACAATGTGAAAAATATTATATAATGCATCTTTATAATAATTATTTGGGTGTTAATAATACAGTATTTAATTTTTTTTTTTTAGTTTACTTTGATCATTGCAAGATGGAGCTGCTACATTTCTATAGCACTTCATTATCATTTTGTGGAAGGGGGGGGGGGGTGCGTATAATCTTCTTACCGTGGGGTACATTCTGTTCTATACAAATGTATCATGTGAGAGTCCTCAAAGAATTGCCCTACTAGCTCAGCCCTACCTGGCAAGGCTTAGTATTATCTTCAACTTCCTTTAGCAGCCAAGTACATCTCCACATATATCATACCCAGTAATTATAACCTCCTGTGCCCCTACGCCCTGCTAAGTTCCACAAGATGTAATAATCTGAGGGGCAACCAATGACCTTAATGGAAAGACAGAGCCCCAACATGGTATTTTCACTCAGGATCATTAAGACTTACTGCTCTCATGCACCACAGCTTTGGTGACACCATCTTTGTCATCTGCTCACCATAAGTCTTACTCTGCAGAGCTGCCCACAATATCAACCACCACCTCCCACCCATTTATGTACTATTTAGCTTTCGTCTTGGTTACTTATTTATCTTAAAAATACAGTACTGTACTTTCATTTGTATCAATTACATTATATTATTATTTAAGTTTATATTAACTTTGTTTTCTAACTGGTCTTCATTGATTTGTAAATTAATTGTCTTTGCATATTTTACTAAGCAAAAATGCTCGGAAGGGGTACTGACAGTTAACGTCACAGAATATTTAACCCATATGCTGTATCATATATTTTGGGGCTATCTCCCATGTTCAGTTGTTTTCTACCAAATTCTATGAATATTTACAAAATATTAAATTATGTAGAACAATCATTTAAGGCAGGACAATGCTTAACCCCTACACTGCACACATGTTGAATGTGACACTCCTGTGGTATGCTGAATAAAATTGTCCTGAAAAAACTATTTATTTGACATTGATATAATTAGCACCCAGGAATCACAAAATGCGAGCCCCCATGAAGTGCTTCAACGGTGCCCTCGAGCCAGTCAGAATGAAGCTCCAGGAGACCCAGGAAAAGCACTACGAAGCCCAAATGCAGATAGATCTGAAGGTCCTCTGAAACCAGTGCTGCTGACAAGGAAATTTTGTCATGGAGCTGCACGAGATCCACATCCCGGGAAAGAGCGGGAGCAAACAAGCAGTCAATGAGGGGATGCAAAAGAAGTGGCGCCCCCCAAAAAAACACGGTCAACACCCAATACCACTCAAGCATGTGGGTCCGTCCAAAGCAAGCACCAAGCAAAAATAAGGGATTGTCTGCCAGCCAGGAAAACTCATGAGCCATGCAATGCATCCAATAAGGAAAAGACCCAAACTTAAAAGAGCAGGGTCCATCAACAAGGTTTAATCTGGGTCCCTCAGGAGGGGCATAAACAGTGCCTCATGAGACAACAGAAGGCACCTAAGAGACACGAAACCACCACAAGGACGAATGTCACTTCCAACTGGGGTAAAGACAGAAGGGGGAAGAACCTTTGACTCACTCAAGGTGAGGACTACCTAAATCAAGGAGTATCTCTAAGGGAGTGACCCCTGAACACACCAAAGAAGAGAACTCTCTCAGTGCAGGGGCAGCACTAGGGAACACCCAGGGAAAGGAAGCCCTGAGCACATGCACAAGCACACTGAAGACCTACACCATAGTGTAAAGAAAAGGCACAAGGGCAAACATCACACCACTTAGCTGAATAAACAAGACACTGAAGCCAATATGGAAGAGAGGCGATCCAGTAACTATAAGATCAGCACTAGAACTAAGATAGGGATATCAGCTGGTGGTGGGCTACCTCCCTCCTCCAGCCCAAACTTATGGAGGAGGTGTGGCAAACGAACTCGTACTAGTTATAAGACAACTTTTTTTTAATATACAAGAGTTCTTAAAGCCACTAGTACGCATAGCATTTCAAATAGGTCCTTAATCCTAATATTACCCCGGAATACGATCCACCAAATCGTTTAACAACCAGGTACCCATTCACTGCTGGGTGAACAGAGGCTACAGTTAAGGATTGGCTCCCAGTCAAGCCTCTCCGGCCAGAATACGAATCCCTCGATACAATACGACTGCTTAGCTGAATAAACAGGACACTGGAGCTAATATGGGAGAGAAGCATTGATTGTTTGTTTACATAGTTGGGGGAGTTTCTGGGGGGAGCCCCATTGACTCCCCGGAGCTATACGGGCTGATATGAATGTATTAAACCCTGGCATCAGTCAATGCGCAAGGAGTTCTAGGCCTACTGGAGACCACAAGCCAGAACCTGGCCCACTCAGAGAGGCATAAGGAGCAATGGCCTATGGAGACCCCAGTGTGGTTGGAAGCATTCTATGTCTGCCATCGGCCGGGCTATTACCCAGAAAGGTAAGCGCCTCAAAACAAACCCCTATTTGGTCAAAATATTGCTACTGAAAGCAAAACTAGTTGACAGAACTCCCCCAAATGAAAACGAGCAAACGAGCATGACGTCACCACGCCGCTGTCTGTGCAACCCGCCCCTCCCCGGAAGGGGAAGCCCCAGACCCTCACACTAGCTATCCACCCTGTAGTTCTGTGGCTGATGTGAAGCTGGCAAGGTCGTGCGATTCTGGCTCCCAATTTCCAGTCCGGTGCCTAGTGGTGGTGGTGGTGTGCTGTTTTTGGTGGTGCACGAGCCAGGAGTATATTCGCAAGTACTCAGGCTGCATGCACCTAGGGTCACCTTCCCTATAGGTGCCTTATAAGTACTGCCCTTGGGGCTTGGGGCCATCTTCCACAAGTCACATGGGGGGTGGGGCTACCTCCGCAAGGTCTTTTGCTGCTTGGTGATTGGCTGCCCTTGGAGTCAGCTGGGGTGTTTTCGTCACTCCTGTTTGCCTCTGGGTAGGGAATAATGTTCGTCACTGGTTGGGGCGCAGGGTACTGTGCAGCTAGTTATCACCTCTCATAGTAGCCAGCTCTGTTTCACCTGGGTACGTTGTCCTCTTGCGAGGTTTTTCTTTTGTTTTTGTTTTCCTGCCCGGTGAGCGGTCTGCCCCTTGGTTCTGGTCTTACCTTATTGGATCTTGGTGGTCCCCCACTAGGCCCCTGTGAATGTACACATCCAAGGGGGGGGGGGGGCAGTTTTGTTGGTAACTTTGGGCACTGGTTAGAAGTACCTGTCTGGGCTTTCCTTAGTGTGAGTTGTCTAAGAGCCCTGGGAAACCCTGCAGAGGCACTTGGGTCAGATGCAAGCGACCCCTGGGGTCCCCTCTCGCCTTGTGCGAAATGAGAGTTGCTCGGTCCCCTTGTCTCTAGGTGACCTTCACCATTTATGCCTTCATCATACTGCCTGCTGGGTAGTACCCCAGTTCACTAATGACACTATTTGGGTGCAGGCAGCTCAGGCATTGCATGCTCGTTTTAGGTTGCTGCGATGCGCTAGGTTGGTTGCTGACCCGGAAGCCCCGAAGCAACTCCGTTTTAATTATAGGGACCTGGACTTAGGGGTGGTAGTCGCTTTGACTTTGGTTCAGTCAGTGCCCCCATATTCTACCCCCTGCTGTGGTTCATTCTGGTCCTCCCCACTCCCTGCTGTGGTTCATTCTGGTCCTCCCCACTCCCTGCTTCTGGCTTCAAAACTTCTGGCGGTTTTGGAGTCGGGGCAGGGTTTGGTAGGTTTAGTAACTCGGCAGTCTCGGGGGATGCCCCTTACGGGGTGGCGACAGAAGCATTTGATCCGGTTCCTCCTGAAGCATCTGGGTCTGATCAGTGGCCCCCCCCCCTTCCTTTCTGCTTTTACGGCTGCTTCGGTTTTTCCTCTTGAGGCTGGGGGCTCCGGGGGACTGCTCGGTCCCCGGGTCCTGCTGTGGAGGTTCCCGGGACTGGGGGAGGGGTTGACCTGGGAGCCTTGGGCCCCCGTTGGACCCCGCTTGGGTTCTTGTACCCTCTGAGCAGGCTTGCTGTTACAGGGAGAGGGGTTTTTCTTGCCCCTCTCTGCGTAGGAGTTGGATTTGGTGTTGGCCTCTTCCCGAGTTCGGTTCCATGTCCCTTCGGGTTTGTCGGTCCCGTTCTTCCGGAGGTTTTCGGCTTCCCGCATCCCACCTCATGACGTGCGGGATACCTTTGCAGCTTACTTCCTGCGCGACCTGGATTATGCCTCTTTAACCACTGCACTGCGCCAAACGACAAATGCTGTTTTGAGAGTTGTCCGTTTTTTTTTTAATTATGCTATATTTTAATGTTTTTTAATGTTTTCATCACTCTTTGTGTTTTGAAATGAAAATAGTTGAGTTTGAAAACATTTTGACATTAACGTTACCAGAACATTTATAAAAACAACAAAAATATGTCCTTAACAATTGCACTAAAAAGTTTTAGATAAAAACAGGTGCGCAGTGCAGAGGTTAATGGACCCTTTTTCGTTCAGGTTTGGATCTTTGTCTCCTTACTGGGTTTGTTATGAAGTTCCAGAGTCGTCCTGGCTGGCAAACTGTCCTGTGTTTTTTTTGGAGGCTTGGCATATGTTCTGTCGGTCCCGCACGCTTGAGTGGCGTGAGGCTCTGACGGTGGTCCAAGTTTACCCTTCGGGGGTGGGGGGGCGAGTTTGAGCACCTCAATGCGTGCTTATTCGCCCCTGGCCTTCCTCGGGATGTCGGCATCGTGCAGCTTCATGTGCAGGTTCCCACCCCTTTTGGCTGCAGTGGTTGCTGAGAACTTGTGTGCTCGTGGCCTGTTGGTTTCCATATTGTATTTCTTTTTCCTCCTGGAGCTGTCCTCAGATTGGCTTGTCGAGGTGCTTGGGGCCGTTCCTGGGTCTGGTGCCTTGGTCTCGGTGGTGCGTGCATCGTCTACCCTGTTCAAGCTGTTTGCGTCGATCCTTAGCCCTTAAACTGCGCATGACGTATATATATGCCCTGAGTAACATGTCCCACAGTGCGCATGGCGTATATATACGCCATAGGG